TAACACAATATAAGTGCAAACCAGGCTATGTAACTGAAGATGGTAAAACATCGGGATCAATTACCTGCCTCCAAGATGGATGGTCAGCTCAACCCTCCTGTGTTAGTAAGTGGTTTATTATATTAGTATCATTATCCTGATGATATACAAAAGTTTAACTTTATTCTTTCTTGATGTGACTATGTTTCATTTTAATAGGCAAATAAAAACATTTGATGAAAAGTATATGTCATCATTTTTTTTTTCTCAGAATTGCTAGTATGGTAGAACATAAATACATCTTTCCTCCCCTGACAGACATTTTAAAGAATACTATGATTTAGAGGTGACTCAGAGAGCTTCATGTGTATTCTGGTGCTGACTCATTTATTTTAGCTGAGATCTTTGTCACTGTTAGGTATACCTGTGTTTTAGGTGGTCAACCTCTTGTATCAAAGACTTTGATCCCAGACATAAAAGTAATGTTCTTAGTGAAAATATGGAGCCTTGGTATATAACCTCAGAATATTTTAACCTTTATAACTTATATGTTTGACATTGTAAGATAGGTCTACTTCTGAAAAACCTCCCCCCTTAAACATCTGCATAAACATCTAGGTATTTGAAAGGAGGGAGTGTTTCAAGATTATACCAGGTTTTGCTATGTTGAAAGATTTTCCTGCTATAATACCCAAGGTTAATAAAGATTTTCTAGGAATGATTATTTCTGTTTATCTTATTAAACTCAAAGTTATTCAGTAATATTTTACAATATTTTGACATGACTAAGATATTTATTCTTCTTAATTTCTATTCCTTATTTTACAATTTCTATGCTTACAGCATCTAGCTAAAAAATGGTACAAATTGCTGCCTTATAAAACTCATCATATGCTAAATTCTGATAAATAACCCATTATGAAACTTTCTTATTAAGAAATAGAAAATCTTATTTAAGATACATTAATATTTTGTTAATCAATCCACATTTCTTCTATTATGTCACAACTACTAATAAGTCTGACATCTTAATTCTCAAAATGCCATCCCAGTCTTC